CACAAGTGATTCAGCTCTGAAAGTAACACTGATCAAAAAGCTTTGCTCCTTTTCACAACTATGGGATGACAATTCAGTTAGTTGAACCCTCATCATTTGGGAGGACGCCTGAAGCAAACCACAGAAGCTACAGCTTCATTGCAATACATCAGAAAAGCCACGGGGATAACAGGGGGGTGGAAGTCTCTCCTGCTGCAGCCCCATTAAAATAAACAGGGAGACAACCCCACAACTGCATGGACACACAGACATGGGCAGAAAGGAAAGGACCACTCTCTGAATTCAGGTATTTTAAGCTGCTCCTCCCACAGGGCTAGCCAGAGCCTTTTCCCATTTGAAATTAGAAACCAGCAGGAATTTACCCCTGAATATCAGCAAAAACGGAGGGAAGAAATGCCCTCAAAAGAGGACTTTTCCTCCACTCCCCTGTCCTAGGCTTACATCTTTGTAAAGTTAGTATAACTTGCTAATAAGGTGGCCATCTTCATATACAGAAGGGCCTTAAACTTTTCTGCCTCCACCTTTAAGAGCTTAAGTACTCTTAGTAGCAAAGAACTGTGCCTTATTTCCAAACTGGATTTATTCAGTTTCAAATGCATTTCCTTCTTTCTTTCTTTCTTTGTTTTTTTTTTTTTTTTTTAAATAAACTGAGTGTTTTAGATACATTTCATATAAGATAAGAGAGATAGCAGTAACTAAAGCAGAGCTAAAAAGCCATATGTACCTTCTACTCTAACTGACACTACGAAGCATCCAGGGTAAAAAGCTCCACAGTGCCACCTTATCCATTTATTTTGCAGCAGCAAAAGCAGCTGCGAGAGGCGTGGTGAGAAACGGACCATTTTCCTCCAGTCTCACCAAGCATCCTGGTGTCGCAACTGAGGCAAAAACACGAAGCCTTCCTCCCGCCCCCCGGACAGCAGGCACATTCCTGGGACCAGAGCTGAGCACTATTATACCTTCTGGGTATACATAGCTCTTCACCAAAAGGAGGGGAAAATCGTTGGCAGTTCTAGCGTAACCTAAAATCAGATATTCAGATATAAATTAACCCATATGGTCTAGATTCACATGCGCATTTTGCTGCTCTCATTCCTGCTTAGAGATGCTAGGGATTACTTCTTCCTCCAGCAGCAGGCTATACCCCAGGAAAGCCATCAGTAGTGACTCTGACGGCCACCCAAGCGTGCCAGGAGCCACGGTCACACATCCAGTAGCCTCACTTCTAGCAATAAAGCACCTAGTGTTAGGCAAACCCTCCCTCTTATTAGCAAGTCTCTTAATATTATTCTTGTTAAATCCCTGCTACGCCTTTTGCTAGGTGACCTGCCTCAGTTTCCCCACCAGCACCCTTGGGTGTGCAGACCCAGGCTCCCAACTTCTAAAAGAGATTTGCCCTTCCTAAACTAGCCACCATAACCTACAAAAACAGCCACCTCTTGCAAGTAAGAGCTGTATATCACACACACATTCAAGCCCCCATACTATACATATAAATGAATCAAAACCTCCTTCCAACAATCAAAATAAAACAAAAAAAGGCACCTACTTTTCCACCAACCAACCCTGATACATACAACAACCTTTTCCCTTTTAGCCCAGGGAATTAATTACCTGGGTAGTGTTCCCAGGATCATAAAAGCTTTCTGGTGCTGCTATCAGCTAGCTTTCTCCTGTTATAAGCATATAGGTTGTTTCAGCTGTGTTGACATGTGAGAGGAGGAGGGCAAAAAGTACTGAGGGGAATTTCAGAGAGCTACTGAGTGTGGCATTTATAGACTTTATATATATATTACAAGGGAGTAGGGGAGAGTAGTCATGTGCACAGTTTATGACTTAAAATCTTGTTAGGGGCAGGCTCCGTGTATTTTCCGGGTGTGAAATCTGGTGGTTTATGAACTCTCACTACAGCGCTCACCTCCTTCCAGCCTCCAAAACCTCCTCTGCCACCCTCCCCGAAAGCCACCGCCACGCAGCTATAGATTGGCAGTATGCAAATCTGGGAAGCTGAAAGCATAGACTAGTTTAACATTAAAACCCAGCAAAATAACAGAAGGCAGTGAAATAATTACAAGTCAAGACGCGTTACTCATTCGCGTAAAGAACACAGGAAAAATAAAATTTTCTGATGTGTTGCACAAGAGGGAGGCGGGATTTAGGTCCAGCCTGTGCAGAAGCACAACGCCGTGCCTGCCGGGGGATGCGCCGGAGAAGGGGGGTGTGTAATGTGGCTGACCGGTGATGTATAGTTCAGCAGAGCTTCGAGTACGGATGCAGCATGGCATTTATGGGTAGAAAGAGCGCAGTGGAACTTGCTGGATTTATTAGGTGCGGTATTTGCTGCGTTTATTGAATTTCCTGGGTTTATATGGGACTTCTAGTAACAATTTCATTCCAGCTCTTACATATTAACATACCCAGAACTGCCTAGCGTGAGTTTTCGGCAGTAGAGATGCGAAAGACAATACCACTCACATCTAGAGTGGCGCAAAGGAAAACACTGGTATCACAAATAGATTAATGTGGAAGCAATATCCAGAGCAGAACAAAAAAAAAAAAAAACACAAACAACAAAACAAAAAACAAACAAAAAAACCCCAAACAAACAAAAACCAAACAAACAAAAAACAAAACAAAACAAACAAACAAACAAACAAACAAAAAAAAAGACTATCACAATGTCACTGAGCCTCCTCACGTGCAATCAAGGAATCAGAAACCCAGCACCGCAAGGGGCCTGGGCAGCTCCCCAAGCACCAGTCGGCTGTGGCAGCAGGACCAGCTTACCCAGTGGTTTTCACTGGCAGATGTCAGCCCAACCCCGCTTCCGCAAGCCCCCCTGCGAAGGATGTTGAGCAGCATCCCCAGGAAGCCCATTCCCTGTCATATCACCCCTGTCCCTCCCCCGCAAGTTCTCCCTAAAATCCCACTGGGAAGCTGGTGGGGTGACGGGAGGCTGCAGGGGAGCTGCCCCGGCGGGACCAGCACCGGCAGCACCCGGGGGCAGCTGCCTCTTTGCCCACCCCCCTCCTGAAGATCTCTGAGGGGGGATTGCACGGCTGCTAGCCTTCCACTCCACCCTCTCCCATTTCTCAATAAATTAAGCTCATGAGTCCTCACTGCTCTCCAGTGTGTGCAGAAACCAGCTGATTTTTGTCCATTTTATTACAGCCTTTTACATAACGCTACTCCTATCCAGCTTCCCTCTCTCACCCCGCCCTTTGCTCCTTACCCGGATCCTTCCCTGATTTTCTTCAATCTTTCCTTCCCCATAATTTCTAAATTTGATTTCCCAGCCACCACGCATTGAGGACAAACTGATGGGACAACCGATGAATACCAGACTCAGGCTTCACTTTTCAAGAGAGCGATCTTCATGCTCTAGGCTGCACACATGTGTGATCACTGGTCCAGGCGTTCCTGACTTTTTATTTTTTACACATATCACTGCCACATCCCTTGGCAGCAGTGCTGTTCATGGCCATTCTTAATGTAATTTAGTGCCGACAGGCAGCCAAGACATTGAATTAAAGCTGGAAAGGATTTATCGCTGGCCATTAGGTTAAGCAGGGCATGATACCCTGTAGACATAGTTTGATCTACCGAACAGGTGATACAGAGAACACGAGAAAAACAGCCCAAGCACTGATTTCCAAGTCACTTCATGGTTTGCTCCTCTTTCCCTTCGTTGCGCAGCGGTCCAGGATTTCTGGGGACAGGAGCCGTCTCTGATGTTTACAGGGCCGAAATAACAGAGTCACAGACCCCATCGCCCAAGGTGGACATAACTCTATAAATGAGAAGACTGAATTCTTAAAATCCTTAATATATACACAATTCTTGCTAGATGTCACTGACAACAGTGTGAATACCAGCTTTACAGGGTAGGTGTAATCAAACCAGAAATGCCCACTGCCTTAGCCATTATTACTGTGAGGATATCCTTCCTTACCCTGTCAGACCAGCAACAGTACCAGCTATATTCTTTATTAGCTAGGGCCAGCGGAACGACACATGGTGGAGGTTATCCAGAACTTCTCTTTAGAAAATGGCTTGCAATCTTGCCAGGCTGTAGCATTAGGAACAGAAACTTTTCACGACAGGCATTCTTCCAAAATCCTTTTGCAGTGGGGAAGATGGATGCTTGAACTAAAATGCTGTCGTCATCCCAGTGCCAAAGCTATGCATGCCTTTTGCAATTCTTCATTCAGATAAAAGGGTCGATGTCCCTGCTTACAAAACCTGCGGCTGCATTTTGGGCTGTGAGCTACGTGAAGCAAAGTTCTCTGGAAAATTAAATCCCTGTTTCACACTCAAAACGACTCAACTTGTTTCGGCTATTGACTTCTCATCAATTCATCATGATAACAATAGTCATTGTCAAAGAAAAGTCAGTAAATACAGCAAGTATCGCTTGCACGGGGGTTGACATACTGCTGTGATGCTTCAGCTGCTGAGGTGTAGAGTCATGTATTCGAGTACATACACCACAAATTCTAGCAAATTCACACTCACTTATGGGCGTCTGTTCCTTCTGAGCACTCAGCCAGGACACAACACACACAATGAAATCTTTAATTACGTAACTGCAACCTAATATACACAAATAAGGAAACCAAACTATAATTGTTCCATCAACCTTAATGTTGAATTTCTTCACTTCTCATATTGGACTTGGTAGCTTCCATTATTTTTTAATCTACAGTGCATATATGCAAAATAAACAGATATATAAATTAAATGTTTAGCAAACTAATAACTAGAATTTCTGAATTTCATCACAAAGATGATCAAGGAAGTTGGAAACCTGCCATATGAGGAAAGGCTGAGAGAACTGAATTTGTTCAGCCTTGAGAAGTCTTAGGGGAGACCTTATCACCACGTCACAGTATTTAAAAGGTGGCTTCAAAGAAGATGGAGACTCCCTCTTTACAAGGAGTCACATGGAAAAGATGAGGGATAATGGGTACAAGTTACTCCAGGGGGGATTCCGACTGGACACAAGAGGAAAGTTTTTTACAATGGGAACAATCAGCCACTGGAATAACCTCCCCAGGGAAGTGGTGGGTTCCCCAATATCGGGCACTTCTAAGATTTGGCTGGACAGGGTGCAAGAAAGGTTGGACCAGGTGATCCTTGAGGTCCCTTTCGACCTGGTTTTCTACGATTCTGTGAACTTCAAAGGTGCATTTCTGGTTTTACAAGATTTCTGATTATGGAAGACTGCTGGATTTCCACCCTTTCCTCTTACTATAAAGGGCACAGCATTCAGTAGCCCAGCTGTGAGCTTCAGGCAATGCTCCCAGGCCCCCATGCTGGCCCACCCACCTCCACCAGGAACATGCCCAGCGGAATCACAGACTGAGGGATGGGCAAGCATAAACATTACTGACCTGGATTGTGGGAAATACAAGAATATGGGGTAGCAATGCTCTTAAGTCCTCGTACCCAATTCGTGTCCAGCCATTGGACTTGCTGCTCAGACTGAAAAAAAGCACTGAGCAACTTCATACGTTTTCAACTCATTCCAGAAAATTGCCCTCGCACTGTTAGCTTGCGCTGAAAATCGCACTGAGCAACGGGAAGTATACGTTATCGTTAAGTGTCTGACACCTCCGATTATCCCAGAGGTGCGAAATAGCTTCTGCCTTTCACACCTGCCCCTTCATTTAAAAGAGACTTTGATAAATTGCAAGCAGGTGCAAACCAACAGACTAGCATGTATTGGATGATGAAGCAAAGGCCTTGATAAATCCAGTTCTTCTGGGCCAGGCAACATATGTTGAGTTATAAAATTCACAAAAACCAGTGAGGATAGTTTCAAAATAAATACCAGGACCGGGGTCCCTGTGACCATCCAGGGCAGCAATTCCATCCTAAACACAGAGGAAAGAACATCAGTTACTCGTAACAATCTGGTTAAACCCAGCATTTCTACAGCAACTGGCACTACCGTAGTCCTTGAGACTACATAGGAGCATACCTGTGTACTTATTCAAGCTGCCCCTGCAGATCTCGGGGTAAGACAACCCCCTGGGCAGAAGCGCAGGAGCGCGGGCAAGGGGGAGCAGTGCCCATCACCACCCAGCTGCATCCCCAGGCCAACCGCAAGACCTTGCGGGACCTCCATCAGCAGTGAGTGCAGGCAGAGCCCAAACATACTGTATTTCCATTTTGTGGATGGGGAAATGGGACGGTGCAGGGGGAAGAGTCACACCAGAGGTCAAGAAAATCAGTGTCTTGTGGTCTTAATTCAATATGCCGACCGCCTTGATACCCAAACACACGGTTTGTGCTCCTCAAGCGCTTTCTGCAGAAAAAGGTATTGCTGCCTCAGCGGGGAAATAGTACAGGAACAAGAAACTTCGCTTCCAGCAGAGAAAATTCATTTCCCAGAAAATTACCATGGTACAAACACAAGTCCAAAACAGAGAGAAACTAGTGCTGGGGAAGAGTCCACACAAACATGAAGGAAGCAAATAAACTAACTTTAACGCACATATTCCCATAACTCCGGCCAGACTTGCAATTTTCACCTATACAGAGCACCAAGCAATGGGTGTTTTTGTCTCAACTAAACATTCTTTAATACCACCACACTGCTTTAAACCTTCCCCCTTGAAGCACGGCTCCAGACTTGCTGGAGTCTCAGCGGGGGTCGTTACCTTGTACATCAAAATGGTCTTTTTTTTTTTTTGCCTTACGCCTGGGGACCCCATCTCCTCCCGCTCTCCCTGCTGGCAAGCTCTGTGGGCAGCGGGCACGGTTCCCGGCGGCAGGAACGGGTGCTGCTCACAAAACGGGCAGGAGGCAGCGTTTGGTGGGTGACAGGAGGCCGGAGAGCGGCGTCCCGGGCGTGGGGCGAGGAACGGCGCAGAACTGCACTCGCACACTTGCGGCTCTCGCTCCCTTTACCTCCTTCTCCGTCCAAACCAGTCCAAACAGACAAGCGTTGCTCCCACCACGCTGTCTATACTACACAGGATAGAAAGACTCAGCATATCATCAAGCGGTGTTAAATGACTAATAGCCTGGAGGGCTCAAATAAGGCCAAAAAGGTGATGAAGGGTTGCCGGCATTTCATGATCCCTCCCCTTCAAAAGCACTTACTCACCTAGAATATGCACATACTCCAGGCTGCATAATGACTACATACTTATAACATCTGTTAATCATTTATACACTACTTATACATATGTTAATATCAAGTTTCATCATAAGGTTAATCGCAACAATCTGTTCTTGCTTTGAGAGTGTGTGGATGTGCTCAGCAAAATCAACTTGAAGGGCAGTAAAAATGTGCCCAAACATTTCCTACTAAAAGATTGCTCTCTTAGCAGGAAGGTCAATTCTCTAGGGTGATGCTAGAGAAGACAGCTATCTTTTTTTCATGCCCTTTAAAAAAATTCCACAAGTAGGAAGGCTGTAAAATCTTGAAACTTATTTAATGAAAGGCTATTCCTGGATGATATGGCATTAAATTGGTGAACTTCAAGATAGTTAATGAATCTTAATATACATCCAGAGGACTACAAATGTATCTATGTACTTATTACCTACCCACAAATAAAGCAGCAAAATCTTGCCTTGTTTCACTGGTGGTTTGTGGTTAATAAATAAATACATAACTCAGAGCGCTTACGAGGGTAAGAGCTAGCTCTTATCTCAAAACATTTGCACAGGGAATCACATATCATGAGTTCAATGCACTCATTTCCTAAAGCGTTGCATCTGAAAATTCCCGATCATTTCAAGCAATCCCATTTAGTGTAATAGGCATCTCCTCAAGTTTAATGCTGATGGACCACAAGCCTGGGCTTGCTTTAATTTGGAAGAACACATCCAGCCATAACAAACCCCAGCTATTAACACTCTCTTTGCATTGGGATCATTCCTTTAGGTGTTGCCCTTTCTTGTGCAAATACAGAGGAAATGGGCAGCAGACCCTGGGGTCTTCTTTCTCACCTCCACGGCTGAGCAATGTTTCCTGGGCTGCGGCTTTCTTCTCTATAAAAGGGATATATGACTTCAGAGTGCTTGAAAAAAAAAAAATCTGTAAGAAATTCAGAGAATTATTGTGGATATGAGATGCAACCCAAAGAACAGTCTTGGATAATACGTAGCATGGACTCTCCTCTCCCCACACACCTTACGGTGACAAGGATAGTGACCATTTCAGGAAAAATTGGGAATATAGCCACTCTTCACCAGTACTTCTAGCTGCACATGGGCCAGCTGATGTGCAAGGCACACGCATGGAAATACAGGATTTACATTTGCTCAAATCCTGCCCAGATGTTGTATTTTAAGCTGGAGGAGAGAGGTTAAATAGGTGCCCCCTGGAGAGGACTGGCCTTCACAAGGGAAAGAAGCACCGTTATATCCCGGCACACGGTTCAGATGCAATCGGTTGATATCTAAAAGCAGTATTAAGAATAAATGTAGAAGAAAAAAAGAAGTCTGTGCCCATGGCACCTGCGTGCTTGTGGCACTGGGTGGTTGCGCAGCAGGACTGCAGCATTTTGCCCCTCCACCCGGTGCCAGCTATCAATCAGCTGGATTAATTTATCTGCTGATTTGGCTAAGGCGACACGATCGCTGCCAGCAGCTGGGAATGCCGGCCCTCGGTAGCGTTGAGCGATGCTCTCTGTGTCCAAGGAGCCCCATTTCTCAGAGGCACCCAGGAGCCACGGCACCTAATGAAGTTTCCAAAACCTGCAAACCCTCTTTGGTGTGCTGGGCTGTAAACAATTTATATCTCTACCTACTAAGCCAGGAACTGCTGGCTGGGGGGGCACGCCGAAGTCACCGACCTGTCGAGAGGATCTGTAGCAAGGAGCTGACCATGGCCTCCCACTGCGTGTGCAAGAGACTTTTAGGTGCACATAGCCTAAACAATCAGCACCAAAACACACCACCAAAAACCAGGGTTTGCAGGGGCAAGAGGTCAGATGCCTAGTACAGAGCCAAGGGAAGGGAAGAGATGGGATTCTCCATGCCTGCTCCAAACCCCCCGCCAAATTGCTGTTCCAAGAACATAAGGGGAAAAAAAAAAAAAAAAAAAAAAAAAAAAAAAAGATCATTCAATGTTTAAGACATAAATAAAAGTTAAATTTAAGCCATTCTTATCTGCTGACTCACAACAGACCCCTGTGGGTGCGATCCTTGATCCCTGGCCTGTCACCGATGCGCTGTAAGAACAGGCGACTGACAGACCATTTTCCCTGGCAAAAAGAGATTGCACAAGGTCAGGCCGGGGTTTCTCCTGGGAGCCTTCCAGCAGCGGTTCGGGAAGTCACTGAACTAGGAAATCTGCTGGTGTTTAGATCATTGCCAGGAGCAGAATACTGATGAGCCGCTCCCGGAGCCTGATGGCAGGCTCTTTTGCCGGCGGCATCCCATCGTGTCGCATAAAGCTGCAGAATTAGGTCCTTCTGGTCTTCCCCTGACCCGTCTCTATCAATTTTCTAGATGCTCCTTTGCACTTACACTGATTCATTTGAAAATGGAATCAGGCCCCTTTTTGGGGGTTGGCACTTCCCTGCTCTGGTAGCAAACGCTGTTGTGCTGCACGGGCAGAGATTGAGACGCACTTTCCACAGACACTGCACAAGGTCCAAGGCAGCAGAAAATCTCACTCTTAGAGTTTATAATCTCTAAATGCTTAGAATTAAATTCTTGAATATAGATTTTTGTTTTTATTATTATTCCTTCAGCTCAGAGCTGTCATAAAGTATATGACATTGCAATGACTGGAATACTCATAAGCTGCCAGAGAGAGAACCTGACTATTTTTTATGTATTAATTATGTTCTGCCAGCTAGGAGGCTTTGCTCTTGTAGGGGCACCTGCTAGTCTCATTATAAAATGTCTTGTACTGAGTCAAAAAATGTGATAAACTATCCAGTGATTCCACACAGATATATAGAAAAGTGTTTATATAGACAGTGTCAGGATGCGGCGATCCTCATTCCGCTCTCTTTACTCACCTCCGTGACAGGCAGCAACTAGCAGTTTATTGGCATGATGATACTATGATTTTAAATGTACAGCACCCCCCCCCCCCCTTCAGCAACCCCCACATTTTCAGATTCCATTTCCAATATCTGCAACACGTGTGGCCACGCTGCCTGCTTCGGTTTGCTGTATTCCTGCCCCTGCAAGCTTCTCTGCTCCGCTGGTGGGGAAGGATGAGGGCACACCAGCGGCACTTCTCCCCAGCCTCCTCCTGAGCAGAGGTGAGCTTTTGCCCACATGGCACCAATGCCAGGACAGCAGGTCGGGGAGGAATCCCTGCTGGGTCCTACCTGTGGTTTTCCTGCACCACAGGCTGCTGCAAGCGGGGTGAGCCCCCCAGGCTTCGGGGGTAAGCCCATTGCCCCTTCCCTCCCCAGGGACAGCAGGTCGGCTGAGGCAAGTGGAGTGAAGCAGGAGGAAAAGAGGACCCCTACACGTGATCCCATGAAATTCTGCTAGCACTTACCCCAAAATATCCACGAAGATTACATTTTTTAGTGATATTGCAATGCCTTTTGTCATCAGCGGTAGAGAGAGTTCGGACGGTGCCGTTTCTCTTTACTGCCAGCTGGTTGCTCCCGCGTCCCCCGCTGCAAGCCTCGGACAGCCCCTAGAGACCCGGCGCAGAGAAGTCAGCAGGGCAGGCCCCTGTCGCGGCCCCGCGTCCTGCCCTGGTCAGAAGTTTGTCCCCAGAAGCGTAAATAACAGGGGCTTTCAGCAGCTCTGGTTAAGCAGACTGAATCTCCGACTCATCTTCATCAGTACATCACCCTCTGCCTCAACTTCTGGCTTTTGCAGCCTTAGCATATACACATAATCTGCTATCAAAGCACCTCTTTTGTCTTCCAGTAGTTGGCCAAGACTAGAGAGTTTACAACACTCCTCCTCTTCCTAAAATTGCCCAGTGAGAACTTCATTAGGTTTATTTGCTCTCTGCTCGAGCAGAAATTTAAGAGGGGCTCTGAAAACAAAGTCACCTTTGTGGCACTTGTCAACAGAGTTTTATTACTGTTTCGATCCTGATGTCTGTCAAGATAAGAGGAGGAGTTCTTTCAAATCATACAATAGATGTAATTTAATAAGCGGTCAACAAAACTGCCCTGAGCAAAGAACTCTTATTGTTCCTCTTCTTTATCCCTTTCCTCTGCGGTCAAATTATTAGTCTTACAGCCCTCACGACTCCCCGTATTAATTCCTGTCTGCAGCAATGGTGCCTACAGAGCAAACACAAGGGTGGGTGCTGGGGAGATGCCACGTCCCCTCCTGAGGCCACTGCTGCTGCGAGCTGACTGTCCTCTGTCCACCGGACTCCATCGGAGCTTCCCCCCCTCAACTCTCCATGGGGAGAAAAGTTTTCAACGGGCATGTTTTCTCTTGAGGGTCGCTGGGTCTTCAACCCGAGTAGTCGGACTTCGGTCATACATTTTCAAACTGACCTTTTTTCCCATGCAGTCAGCCATGTAAGTTTTATCTCCGTTCTTCAAAGCAAGGCACTTAGGTTTTTAAGGACATGCTTAGCTTAAAGCAAGATAATATGTGACAGTGGAATATTCCTGACCTTAAATTTTGGGCAGATGGTTAAACATCTACCTGAATCATGATCTCTTATGGAAAATAAAGATCGTTTTATGAAATAGAATTGAGTTTTGCACATTTATTTTCCTTGTAATTAATTCTCTCTCTTCCTTTATATATCTTTGTAATACAAAATTACCATGTCTGGCATCCTCTGAGAAAAATGTCATGACCTGTTTTTTTAGCACCGTCTGAAATCTTCCACTCTCAGAAATGAAAAATAAAACCCATTTTGGACTTCTTATTAACAGGAAAAAATGTGCTGACAGTTTAGCAGTTCATGTGAATTATAAGAGCGATAGCATGAAGACAAGCACTGAGAGATTTATAGCTGAAGCAGAACCGTCCACACAGCCCTGGGGCTCCCTTTTTCGATCCTGATCCAAACACCATCTGCCTTTGCCATTGCTTGGGAGAATGGCTTAGCATCAGCTATATTCATCAATATTCTGCCACCTCATAAAACACTTCCTTAAAAAAAGGAGGTGTCTGAATTCCTAACTGGGTTTCCTTAGTCTGGGGGATTTCATAACCCTGATTTAAATTATTCAGAGCTTCTTTTTTCCCCAAAGTCTCCACCAACAGATGAAACCACAGGAAAGTACCGTATACATTTCATAGTAACACTTTGGCCGGCGAAAAGTTACAAAGCTCTGAACATAACTACACCGTGTTCCAGCAAATCAATGACTAAACCAAAAAACTAAATGCTTGAGGAGGAGCAAAGGTATCTTGTGATGGACCACAGCCAGCCACTGCTATTTAAAGGTAATAGTACAAGACCCTCATGTCCATGCAGCACAGCTTCTGGATGCATAAATATTATGAGATGGGTAAATTGTTACCTGAGTAAAACCAGTTACCTTGGCTTGTGGTACACAGACATTTTATTGTCACTTCCATTCACAAATTCTTTGTTTTTTTTTTTTTTTTTTTACCTATTTTGTCATGCCCAGCTTGTCAAACAACCCTGTCCTGAGTGGCAAGTCTACCCTCTACCCCACGTCATCGGGTTGGGGTACTCAGTAAGCCTGGGTAAACCAGTACTCCAGCACGCACGGGAGAAAAGAAACATCATCCTTTAATCAAATTGGCTTTTAAGCCACTTAAAAGTCACCGACTGGAAAGTGTCACTGGGGGAGAGGCTGAGCAGTGCCCATCCCCACGTGTTTTGGTTGATGACCAGGATTGACTGCAGCAATTTGAGGTCATTAGCAGGCACACCAGCAACTGGCTTTGGAAGGGGCATGGGGGGGGAAGTCCCCCACCCCGACTCCAAAAGCCGCTGGGAGAGACGAAGGGGGCTTTTGAATGGGAGCTGATGCCAAATATCCTCTTCCACTTCTGTGGGGCCAGGCATCCTCCCCAGCCCCCTCACACCCTCGCCTGCAGCTCTGCTGACTTTGGCGGATGCTAATTGCATCCTATCGGGCCCACAGATGATCATCACTCAATGTAATTTGCAGCTAGGCCAATTTTTAAATTATTTTGGGAACTATAATACTTTGTTCTGTAAATGTTTACCCGCTAAATATCAGATGTGTTAGCTTCTCAGCATATTGCAAGACAAATCTGCATATGAATGAAAGGGAAATAGCTACGGTCTCTGGTATACAGATGCACACAAAATTGCAAAAGCTTTGGATCCAGACACTTGGAAGACATTACGTCATTTCTCTGATTTATCTTCTGTTGTTCTAACTGCAGAAAATAAAACCTTAAATAATTTCAAAATTTTTGATGTCCAGCTTTTATGAATTTGTGGGAACATTTCCCACTCAGCTTCTAATTTAATGGAGGTTATTTGAAACATGTTGAGTATTTTTCCCTTTACAGATAAAACAGCCCCTCCAGGAGGATGTGGAAATAAATAGCAAGTGAGGGAGCCAAACTTGAAAACTTCAGTCACCAAGTAAAGATGAGGATGCAATTTCTGCATGCTGCAATTTTTTCTTTAGAATGAAGACTTCTGCAACAGATATAAGTGCATGAGATATAGGAAAGCAGTTATTTTATGTAAGGGATTTTAGTGACTTCACTGACAAAATTACTCTCCCAGCAGAAAGTGGCCTTACACTGAGGCACATAATCGGTATCAGTGCAGGCTGGGTGATTGGATGAGACGTCCAATCCTTGTCTAAACCCCTCCATTAATTTAAGATATGCCTTGAACTTCTTTTTGAAGAGAAGCACGCTTTCCTTTGCCCCTGTAGCTTTTGTTTTCCATCTTCGTTAGAATGATTCATAGCAAGAGACGGACTGGAACTAAACTGCATCTATCTGCAGGATAACTGAAGGCTTTACAGAGCCCTGAAATCCCAAGGGGAGCAGCGCCAGGCGCTCAGAGTTACAGGCCGGCAGATTTGAACACGCTTTGTTCCTTCGCTGCGTTTATAGAGAAAATCCCTAAAGGTAGAAAACCTGTGGGCCTTGCCAGGTCCCAGTCATCCTCAGGATTGTATGAGCTTCAGCCAGAACAAAGCAGGAGGGTCCCCCAAGCAGACAAAGCACTGCTCTGTTTTAGTCATTAGTACAGAAGCAATTTCAATCCTATTATCTATCTCAGAAAGATGGGACTTCTCCTGTGTCCGCAGGAAAAGCAGCCCTGCTCTAAAGGAGAAAGATGGACTTGGGGCTGTGGTGGGAGGGGAATACAAGTCCGTGTTCTGAAGGGACACGCTAGCTGTGCTGCTTTTGAAACAAGGGAATTAACAGCTGGGAAATATTATTGCTGCCAGGCCGATGAACCAGGGCAGGGCGAGACCCCCCACGCGGGGTCTTGGGGCTGATGGGTTCCCCAGGGGACGGAGCTCCAGCGGCGGGGCAACAACCCCAGTAATTTCGAGACCCACCAGACAGGACTTGGCTCCTTTTTTTCATAAAGGCCCGTCAAGGTCAAGAAATAGTGAACAAACACCTATTCTTTTCTTCAAAGTAGATCCTTGCAACCTGATGACTAGCCTGGGCCCTGCCTGCTGCCCCGGGGCCATGGATCAGTGCCTGAACAACAGCAACAGGGAGGACCTGGGTTGTCTCCTGCAAGAGGAGACGGGAGCTACTGCTGCCCACAATTCTCTTTTACCCAGTGCTTTTGGACAAGCCGTGGGGCCACGGCTCTGACCCGCCGGGGGTCAGGGTCCTCACGGAGGGTTCTCCCACGGGGCTGGGCCCAGGAGGGGTCCAGACTATGTGGCAAGGCAGAGCGTGGGGTTTATTCCCGTGTATTGCCTTCCACAGCCACCTAGAAGAAATACCAGTTGCTTTTTCGAAGGGGATTACCATCTGAAATGAGTTAATGCTACAACAGGTGACCTACTTGTAAAAGACCGTAGGAAATCTTTCTAGGTGTAAGCATGCTAGTGCTTTCTTTCTTGTCACTCTTCTTCTAACTGCTAGGGTACTAAAACTATGCAGATGATCATTACACCGAAACCTGAGGAAATTATATCAATGCATTTTCCACAGAGTGATGAAATAAACCCATTGCGATTTCAATAGCTCACAACAACATCAGTGAACCCTGTCCAGGGGCCCCAAAGCTTCTGCAGTGTCTGATCTGCTCTGGTTCATCCACCACGGGATATCTTCAGAGCAAGGGTCCAACAACAGTAGAAACCAAGTAGATAGTTTCAAAAGTGGTGGCTACTTTATAGGCCAAGGTAGCCAGAACAATTCTGGGTGAGACACCTGAAGGTACACAGAGACCGCAGGGGTCCTGCAAGCCCCGGAGAATTAAAAACATTAAAAAAACCCGCTTGGCCCCTGCCACCAGGGCAGGAGCTGCAGGGAACGTGGGGATCTTCCTGCACCACTGCTTGGCAGATTCCCCCTCTCTAAACCCACTGGGGTTTGGTCCATTACTGGGTAAGGCTGAGCTCTCCATAACCCAAATTCAGGCCTGTGTTGTCAAGCACCTCTCTAAGCCAGAACTGGGTGAATCAGGCTTTTGGCAAGTGATTTCTTCATCTTATTTAGGGTTGCAAGGGTTTGGTTTGGTTGGTTTTTTTTTTTTTTTTTTGGTGCTGGACTAATTTGCAGAAGGGTTTCATTCCCTAATTCCCACAAATTACTCCATGACAGGGGGATTTGTTTCCCTAAGCACGTCTATTGTTTATTGATGGCGAGGTTTCTGCAGACACCCACGAGTGCTGCTGCCCATCTCAGCTCACACTGCACGATCGCTCCTCCCCGGCTCCAACTCCTCACCTTTTTCTAGATGGCGATTCAAAGATCGACAAGACAAACTAATGTAACTTT